GTTTATTTATTTTAACTAATTAGTTAGTTATTTATTAATTACAGGTTTAGATGTGGACGTTTAGGGAAAAATGAGTGCCGAGGGTGTAAGTGAAAGTAATAGAGGAAATGTATGTATGGACAAGTACAAGAGTGAAGAGTGAGTGTGGAGAAATGGAAGATTTTAGTGTAAGAGTAGGTGTGCATCTAGGTTTAGCGTTGAGTCCTTACTTGTTCTCTTTAGTAATGGACGAGATTACGAAAGATATACGGGGGGAGGTGCCTTGGTGTATGATGTTCATGGATGTAGTAGCGTTAGTGGGGGAAAGTCCGGGAAGAATTGGTTGAGAGACTTGAAGAGTGAAGAGAATGGACTGATCTACTAATCCAAAAGGAGTAAGACGGTGACAATCGTGTTTAATTTTGGAGAATGGTATAGGGCAAGACAGGTTATGGAGACGGGCGATGATGAAGTGTGTGGGGTGGATAGGTTTAGGAAGAAGAAGTTAGTAATTATTTATTTATTAATACAAAATTTCATTTTTCTCTCTTGTAAAATTTACATTTTTTGACTCAATACATTTTTGCTCTTAGGTGAGGATTTAGGATTAGCCTTAAATTTAGTTCGTCAAACTATGTATTTTTTGTCAGTGCAGCAAGCTAAATTTGGCTAACTTTTGAAACTTTTTTTGTAGACCCAGCGAGCCACAGTACTTGTTTTAAAGACACATGTCGAATCATAGGATTGTTCTTCAGTACAACATGTCCATTATCATACACAAAAGAGGCTATAGTTATACGCGGCCAAAAGTGTTCGATACGACATGGAAATAGAGGCTTGAAGGTATACAAATACTTTGGGTCTTCTATACATGCTGTGGATAAGGGAAAGCCTTCGGAGAAGGGAAATAGCATAGATCTTGAGTTAGCAGAATTCCTATAGTCTCAGGTTTATTTTACTAAATAATACATAAGTTACTTAATAAAGTACTTCTGTTATATTATTTAAATATTTTTTTGCGTGCCATATTTATATAAAAATTCTCAAATAATGTAACCTACTGTATAATAAAAAGTCTTTGCTCGCTATTATAAATTATTTCATTACTTTCAATAAAATAAATATGCTTTTGCTCAATGGAGTCATGTCTTTCATTATAAAAGAGAAGCTACTCCGATAAAAGCAAAAAAAAATGAAACACTAAATGAAAATTTGTATTTGTTTTCCTACACATCAATTCACAAAAACTTGTTAATTAAAAATTCAATTATTACAGAGAAATAATTCACCTTCATAATGAACGACGAAATGGTTTGATAAAAACATTACTGTCATAACAAAATTTGTATAGCGTCAATCGATAAATAGGTACATTGTGTTAATAATTAAATAATAAAAGATTAATACAAGTAATAAAAGATTTTTTAAATTTACAGTTTTTGTTTACCAATTTAATACATTTATATCAAAGTAATAAATTATTTTATCGTGACAAATAAATACTTAATAAAAAATGATTCGACAAGTTTTCGCTATGCTATAGCTAGTCAAAGTTTAAAAACATGTGATACTGTTTAATATGACTATTCTCATTATGTTAAAACTTAATATGTGTAACGCCAACAGGCTTGATTTGATTTACAGACTTTTACATGAAACCGTGTTTTTTATCGGGGTAGTATTAAATGAGTTTGATTTTATTGATAGGTAGTTACAATTTTATTTGTGACTACAAAAATAAAATTTTTGAACTAATTTTGGTGCAATTTTAGTGCAAAATCTTTCTTTATTAAACTATATCAAATTATACCAAATACTCAACAAAATGAGAGCAAATAGTGTGGATACATATCCTACATACATATCTTAATAGTGTTTAATCAGTAGTTTTATGTATTCCATTATTTCACAACGACTGTTGCGGTGTAAACAAATGACAAATGCATTTTAGTGTCATAAAGTTTCAACATTATTATAGTTTTTTTTATGAAACCATGTTTATTTTTAACATGTATTTTTGTGTTTTTATTATTGGTCAATAACGTTGCCATTGCATTTATTTAAAAATATCTATATACAGGGTGATCAACTTATAGTGACCACTCAATATCTCATTGGGTAAAATTAATATTTAAATTTATTTTTCCATAATGTTTTTATAGAATGAGATCTCAATTTTTCAGCATTTTTTTTTTTTTGTTTTAACCCCCTCCCAAATTAGTTTTTTTTATAGCAATTTTTGAAACGTATATATTTTGTTAATTTTATAAATTAAGCATTTAAAGTAACCCATACATTTCATTAACTTTTTAATTGAGAATAATGTACTAAAAATGTTGACTGATCGATAACCAATTTTGAATAACTATTTTTAAAGTTTAGTGCAAGAGGAAAGGTGGAGTGTAGTACTATTTGCATCTGCATACGATTCCCAACCGCACTTATTTTCTCGTTCTAACTCTTAAACTCTTATAACTTTAAGTGAAACAATATAATGAATTTATTTTTTTTTTGATATGGTTAATGACATTAGGTCCAAAATTTCATGTGCTGATATTTTAAACGTTTTTTCCTCTTTATTTTTAAATATACCTACTATTTTTAAGGTTGAATAATTGCAGACTAATACAACTTGTAGAATAATCGTTTTGATTATTTTCTGTCACTTTTTAACAGTAAAATTCATAATAATTCGATAAAGCATAAAACAATTAGATAAATTATTGAGTATTATATTTTATGTTGTAGTCAAAAATTCAAAACAACAAAGCTAAAATATCACAGCTCCAATTATTCACTGTGGCTGTTCATATCAAGTGTTTGACAATCAAGTAGACAATTAATGAAGTTTTGCATAAAGCTATAAAAATTAAGGAGTAAAACAACATTACTATGTTACATTATAACAGTAATAATATAATTTTAAATGCGTTAACCTAATTTGAGTCTAATCGATTATTGTAGAATTAAGTTTTTTGTCCATAAGTGTTAATGTTTGATAGGAATAAATTTTAGCCAATTATAGGGTAATCGATATGATTTTTTTTTTTTAAAAGTCATTATTACGTAAATGTACTTTAATCTTTAAAAATTATAAGTAGGTATACGATCTTAGAGGTATTGAATTGGTTTATTGAAATCGTAATAGTGGTTGTAAAAAACGACATGTTAACGATATGCTAACAATATGTTTTCATGTTGAAAAATAACCGTGCAATTTAAAACCATACAAATTGTGGTAAAATATTATAAAAGTAATAAAATAAGGCAAACATGTAAATACAAAGAAACTGCAAAACAAAATATGTAAAGAAAAAACAACTGACTACGAGGCAGGTGTTATTGAAATTCGGGTTTCAAGTCAGAGGCTTAACCAAAAATAATTTTATATTCATTAAAAATGTGAATTAATTTCATACATTTATTATTTCTACTTACCCCATAAATGTTTTATCAGCATAATAACAAAATATTTTTAAGAATTTAATCAACGATTAGGTCGTTAATAGTAAGAGTGGTGTAATTCTAATTTTTCAAATATATATACATTTGATTAATGGAGTCAATTAGTCATATCCTTCATTACAAAAGAAAAGCTACTCCGGTAAAAGCAAAAATAAATCAAACACTGAATGAATACTTGTATATGTTTTCCTACCCATTAATTCACAAAAATCTCGTTATTTATTATCAAAGTAATTAATTGTCTTGTCGTATTGGCGGTATTTTTTTATATGAATAAAGTGGTTGTAACCTTTATACATAACGGTTGATAAATAATATTTGTTAAATATTTTGGTATTTTCCTTGAGTGTGGACAGAGACATGCCGAATAAATATTTTATAATAATGTCGACTTGATCTGACCAGTTTTCTCTAAGTTATAGCAAGTCAAAGTTTAAAAACATGTAATTTATACAGTTAAATAGTATCCAAATAATGGATCATCTACTAATTATGAGTATAGTAGATTTAGGCTTTTTGTCCTGAAGAGTTATAATATGTTTGATAGGAATTATAGCCAATTATAGGGTAACCGTTATGATTTTTTTTTTACTTTTTTAGAGTCAAAATTGTGTAAATCATGTTCTTAATTCGTTTACATTTATAAGTATAAGACTCTTAGAGTTGTTGTGATTCATTTACATTACAACAGTCGTTGTAAAAACAACACGTCAACTTTGCTAACGACATGTTTTTATGTTGAAAAATAACCCAGCAATTTAAAACCATACAAATTGTGGGAAAATATTGTATTAAGTTTTAGAAAAAGTATCGCTAGCGTTTTTGTAAAAATAACATTTTATATAAAAATGTCTTTTAAGTACAATAGGTAAAATAATAGTAACTAGATATATCTGGGCATTTGTTAATATTATTGAAACACCGAGATTGCATTCTAACATGCAAGAAATAAAATAGGTCAAACATTTAAATAAAAAAAACAACTGGATTTAAATAAAAAAAATAAGAAATAAAACTGTACAAATAGTTGTTGCAATATATAAAGATTCTTATAATATTCAAAGTTTTCGATATCTATAGAAACATACCATTTGTTTACATTACAATAGTCACTGTGGTAAACAGTTTGGGTTTGATAAACACTAATACAATATTGGATTAAAATTTACACGATAAATGAATTTACAAAAAATCCTTGCAATAAGTTATAATTGAAGGGGTCAGCGGATAAAGGTGATAACTGACACAATGTAATTAATCACATTAAAATTACAATGGCTTTCCTAACTTGTTAACAAATAAACTATAATATAATATATACTTGATTCTATATTTTTCTCTTGGGTTAACACACAGACGAATCTGGTAATTTTAATATTGCGTGTTCATCGTCGGTGATCGTTTTAACGAATTGTTTTGTAAGTTTAGTGTTGAGTACATAGCACTCCTCTGAGTCCCCGCCTTCATTATTTCTTATACTACTATAAAATTGAGCAAATGTAATATTATACTCCACTTAGTATTATGCTTCAGAATAATGTCAATATGTTATTCATAACGAAAAATTACTAATGTTGCTTATGTTAACAAATTCGCATAAATAATTCTAAAAAATACAACTAAATTGTATTGTTTCGGTCGACAAAATATTAGCCATTCGTTCAGTCGTAAATAAACCATTGAATCAGTCAGTATAACTACCATTGCAATTATTTTAGTAAGTAATATACGAAATTGTTTTCTTATATTTACTAGTTTTATTAAAAAAAAAAATATATATATAATTTTTAAATGTAGAATGTATTAAATGTACACGAAATCATATTTTTAAATATAATTGCTTTAAAAAATCACTTTTTTTAAAAATTTTTTATTGGAAATATTTACAATCTTTATTAATATGTACAATAAATAAAATGGCTATTTTTTTTTTTAACAAATCAGGATGACTTGAGTGAAAGGGGTAACCTGTGGAACTAGTTTAACTGTAACAAATCACTTATTATATTTTTTAAAAACTATTCGAGTACATTTTTAAACGACGAACACGTATTTGAAAAATGAGTTATCTAGATGATTATTTGGATCTATTTTAATAAAATGATGCCTAACTGTAATCTGTAGTAATATGTACAATAAGTAAAATGGTTTTTTTTTTTTAACAAAGCTTGAGTGAAGGTGGCGACTAGTGACACTACTTAAGGTGTAAAAAATCACTTACAGACTATTTAAATAATATTTTTAAAAGTTATTCGAATATATTTTTAAACGAAGAATTTTTATTTGTACAATTTGTTATCTACATAATCTTTTAGATATCCTTTATTGAAATTATGCAAAACTCTGGTTATAACTACGCGTAGCATAGTACACATAGTACGTATCAAAGCGTTTATTTGAAAGGGTTTTTATCCTAGCAAGCCAGGACATGGGGTCAAGGCATAATGGGATCAAAGCAGTAGAGACAGAAAGGTCACAGGTCTACAAGAATTATTTTTAATAAAAGTGGTAAAACCGCTTTCAAATAAACGCTATTTACGATATAAACGCTTTGATGCTAATTTTTAGCGTAGTCGTTTTTTACAAAAAAAAAAATCGTGCGTAGCTTCTTGCTGCTTTGTTATTTTAAATGTGTTCATCCATACCACATATATAATATATTACCACATATAATATGTAAATCGACATCTACATATTATAATATTTTTAATACTAAATGTTGCTGGCCTAATACTAGTGATGTATAACATTATGATATTTTATTGTATTTATAATCGATGTTAATTGTTTTTGGTATTGTAGTGTAGGAATTTCAGCACTTGTTTGGTTTTATACCATATTATACTTATATGATACTTGTTAAGCTCCTCCTCCAGACGTAGAAACTCTATTATGTTACAATACATTGAACACAAAATGAAAATGTAACTTTTAAACAAGTGTTTTGCACTAACTGAATAGTATCACCAGAAATTGTTGGATACTCATATTATAATTATTATTATTTAAGTACTTCAAAAATAGTTGTCCAAAACTTGTTACCGACCAGTCAACATTTTTAGTACATTTATCTTAGCTTAAAACTTTTTTTAAAAACATGCTTTTCTAAAAAAATAGTAAAAAAGTGAGCTAATAAAATAAAAAATAATTTTACTACAATAACAATTTACCAATCAATTTTAGCACATTTTATTTAAAATGTCAGTTACCTTGAAAACAACAAAAAATTAACCACAATTTGAAATAATGTTAAACATCATTGACCAAAAAGAAAAGCGTGGGCCCTATTCAACAAAGTCCAAATTCATTGAGTAAAGTATTATGAAATGTATGTGTCACACATTAATATTTAACCAAATTTAAATTACAAAAAAACTTCCCATATAAAACATTAATTGAAATGTTAGCTGATAAAATTATTAAGGACTTGAATTGATGCAATTGATTAGTAGAATGTAAAATTATTTTTTTTACTTTTTAGTTTAGCTTTTTACTATTTTTTAGGAAAGTATGATTTTATTTTTTATTTTTTATTCCTACTAAAGGTACTTCATAATTGGCGAATAGATTACTAAATTAATTTTGTATGATTTGAATAAACATGAAAGATTAGTGCAAAATACTCCTACAAACGTACGTACGTACGTATTAGCGAGTTAAAGAAAAGCATGTAAAAAGTTAATGTAATTTAATTAATTTAAAACTGTGTTTTATTAGTCTCTTCTTATTAATAACGTGTTTACCTCAATACGGTCAGACGTGTCTTTCTTATAGTGCTCCTGCGTGTAATCTATAAGTTTCTAAGCGACAAACCGTATCCGTTTCCGGAATAATCTTTCTTATTTTTATTTTACTAGCAATACGTAAGAAAGAATAATTATTTTAAAAATTGTTTTTTTCTTATAGTGGAACAACTTTGTATAAAACATAATTTTCATTTGTTGCTCTAAAATATTTTCTAACTTGTATAATATTCTTTTATGAATCTACTGAGTACGGTTAATATGGGTTTTGCTTTCAGAATTATGGTGTATGATAATATAGTTGTAATGTAGAAAAGCATCCGTTTATATGTCACTCTTTGTCAATATCGACGTAATTAATAATTATATCGCCCGGCATGGTTCTAAAATAGTGACAAATTATAGTGTGCCTGCGTTGTTTATATATCAAGCCATGGATGACACTAGTATATAAAATTTTACTATCAATTAAAAACCATTAATAATTGTATTTTTAATTATTCTATACTATTACTTCATAACAATACTAATAGGTATAGTATTTTCCCGAAAGTTGAAAAAATGTTATATTGTGTAATTTAATTTATTATTTTGAAGAAATATCCGTTTTTACTAAATTATATGAAAAAAACTGTGATATTCTTCTATTCTTTAAAAAAGAAAAATCGTACTCCGTTTTAGAATAAAAATTGTATTAACTTGTTTTGTAATTGCTTCAATTATAAATAATATAGATGTAAACATAAAATTCAAGACATAAGGAATTAAATTCCTTATTTATTAAATTATTGCACGTGAATATTTTCTATTGACATATTTATTTGTTTTATTGTGTACATTCGTTTGCTATCTAAATGTTTTACCTTTATTTTCACCTAATTCGTTCAGTTTTAAGATTTAAACTGCGCTTTCACGATTAATGTAACAATTTACTTGCAATTTTTTTTGGCAGTAACGGGCAGACATCAGTATCTTCTTTTTTACTAATAAAATGTAAGGTTGTGTTTGAACGTATGGTTCTACGTATATTAGATATTAAAGTTTTTATTATTGTAAATAAAGCACCTCTTTATGAATTAGTGCAAAATTAGGAAAATGGTTTTGAAATACAAATGAATTCAAACCCCCCAATATTCTCGGTACCAATATGACAATTTGATCAAAATGTGTGAAACAAGTTACGGGAATCAAGATGGCACCTCGCAGAGATCGGATTTCATCATAAATATTTTACATCAATATTATTTTACTACGAAGTAAACTTTTTAAATAGTTTAACTATAATATTAAGTCGAAATCAGAAAAATACAGAACAATATATCTATTACAATATTCACTTTAACTTATAGTGTTTTATATATTTTGTACTACAAATAGTCTTATCTCATTATCCGTAGTGAACCAAAACATCAACTGTTTTGCTTTTAACAATGTCTCCATTGTGCCCCTTATGAACTAGCCTTAGTGCAACAGATTTAATTTACTTGGAATTATTATCCTATCCTCGTAATAGACTACACCCTGTTCAACAGAAACACTATTGTTTAAGTTCCAATATTGTCTAATGTTTTCTGGCAATTGTTTTTTTTTCCAGGCCAGCCACCTGTATAAACTTTTATCACCTCACTCAACTTAACATCATTTTCAGTTTCTTTTGCTATTTCACTAATATTAGTATTCTTATATTCAATTGCATATATTACTTCCTCCAATTCTTGCTCTCCGTAATCCTTATTACACATATAATTTCTTGACAGTAAATCTGCAATAAACATTAACTTGCCAGGCAAGTATTCTACACATAGATCACTAATAGAACACTATATTTTATGTACTGATAGATAGGGAAAAACAAATTTTTGCAAAATTATGTTTTAAATATCTGATCTCAAAAATATACTAAAGGTAGATCTAGTGTAGTCTTTTTATTTATTGATTTAATAATAAAATAACCATCTAAGTACGCTTTGATGCGACAACTTCGATATTATTGACAACTATCAAAGGAATATGAATCGTGTTTTAGACATGTTGTAGAATCTCCGCTCCGCATTAGGGATGATAAATAAAAGATGGCTGAGTCCAATATAAATTTATTTAATGTTAACTAATATTTTTGCAGATAAAAATGAAACTGTTACGTATTGTAATATCGTTCACTTTAGTAAATATTTTGGTATCTGAATTAGGTGATTATTCAATTTTTAGACTACGCGAGGTATAAGATAAGGTGAGCTATAAGAAATAAAACTTAATAGTTACCTTTTTTTTTTTTTTACAGTGTATAAAGATGAGGTTTACCTAACAAGTCAGTAAACGTTTTTTTTTTAACAAAATAATATTTTAAGTCGTGCAATATGTGTGTATATAATTCATTTCAATTTCCAGACAAATACATCCAGTTGGCAGTTAGCTGCAATCAAGATGTAATGTACCGTTCAGGTAAAATATATTAAACATTTAAATACTAAAACATAATGTTTTTGCTATGTTTATCTGATTATTGAACGACTTTTATAATAAATATTCTTGTAGTTTCTATAGTCTGTCCAGATTAAAAGTTAATAAGGAGTAAAGTGGCAGAGTTTTAAAAACAGTGTAGACACTTAATTTATGTAAACCAAATAATTTCTATTTATAATAAAAAAACAGTAAATATTAATTAATTCTAATACTATAGGTTGTGAATTTTTAACCTAAAAATATGAATAGTGTTAAACTAACTGGTAATCGCTTGATCGCTTGATTTATAAATTGACATATAAAGAATGTGATAAATGATATAGGTAAAGTAAAACGAAATTTTGGTGTTAAATTAAAAAAAAAATATTATAAGATACTTAAATAATCAATAAATACCCAATTATCCTGTTTTGTAATATTTATTAAAAACTAATCGTAGCATACAATCGATAAAGTTCATTAAAACAACTTAAAGTAACAGAGGAAATAGGAATGTGGGAAAATAAAAAAAAATGATAGGCTAGGTCTTAATCCCAGGTTTTTTTTCAATTTCTTTTATTATTTTTTTGTTTACTAACTTTCTATAACCAGAAATATTTTCTTTTTTTTTTTTATAGCTTAACCTATTATTTGTTTCTTCTAGGTCATTTGATGACAGTTGTTAAAAACATTGTTCTTAAACAATATACGATTGGTAATCATAATTATATATATTTTTTTTTTGCTTCACGCGCCATTTAGGCGCTTTGCAGCTTCTACCAAAGCTCTCCAAACTTCCCGATCCTCTGCATCCTCAATACTTACACCGTTACGTAATCTCTTCAAGTCGTCCTTTACTCGGTCCAACCACCGTTGTCTTGGCCTTCCCACGGTCGTTTTTTATTTGGCTCGTTAATGAATACCTGTCTTATCAGTCCACCTTCTGCACGCCATACATGGCCAGCCCACTCTAACCTTTTCGACCACAGAAAGTCTTTTAAATTGGCTGCATTAAACAGACAGTTAAATATATGATTTTAAAATCTTAAATCTAATTCTAAAATGTATATGGAATTTTTCCGACAAGCAAAGCTAACGTTACTCCTTTTAATCTCATCTTATCATAATGTTTTATTCAATTGAGCACATTTTCTTTAATTCAGCCATTCTACTAGCATAGTTTCCATTCAATTTACCATATCAAACATTTTTTTCCAAAACCTTAAAGCACATAATATGTCATCTACTTGACTTCTGACATTATGTGTAATAATATATATTATTATTATTATTCTAAGATATTAGAATAAACAGTTAAATTTACACTCGTTAAATAATACATTTATTTTATGTTAATTTCAGTGGAAATGGCTTTAATGTTGGTAGTACCGGGTAATCATTTTCTTAACATATTATAGAAATATTTCCACATAGATTTGATATTCATTTAGTATACAATGTTTTTATTTTAATTTAAGAAACACAAGAAGTCTTAGTCATAAAGCATGGTAAATATTTAGTAGTTAATTTTCATAAAATATATTGAGAGTATATTTTATTGACTTTGATTTCTGTCATAATGAATGATCTACATTTAAATTTAGTATGAAAATATTCCAACATTGTTGATATTGATTAAGCATAAAATGTTTTCATTTCATTTTCAGGAACACAAGAACACGCTTCAACTTCTTCTGTGGCTTCAAATGAAATTGTGGAGATTGGTAAATTTCTAGCGCCTTAATTATTCGTATTTAGTGTATTCACAGTTAAAGGTAAAATGAATACTTAAAGTTTTAATTTAGTTTTTTTCTTGAAATCAAGGACATAAAATGCACAATATTGTGTGCATTTTAAACAAAATTACAAAGATCTACTTTATTTTGGCACATGCGATGTAAATTCTAAACAGAAACTCCCTTTAATAACACTGGATATGAAAAGGCCAATTGTTTTTTAACAACTTTTGTCGAATATTTTTTTTAATGAAAACAAAATTGACTGAGATAAGTTAGTAAATAGTTTAAATGCAGTATTATTTTTATTTGCATGTTATATAACCATACTTCACTTCCCATTCTATGTATAAAACCCAAATAACATTAAAAATATATTATCGAATATTCAAATAATTCAGCAAATTATGATTAATTAAACAAATAAATTACATGTACATTACAATTTAAGATGCAATAGTTAAGACCGCCCTAAGTCTAGCTTTTGATTGAAAAACCTTAAATCTTTGATAAAAATTTAAAAAATGTACAAGTAATTTTTTATAATTATTTTCGTATAAAGTCAAAACAGTCAGCTCATACATGAAATTCTGAACATTTTGTATATTGTGTATTTTCATAGACATGCTTATTAATTTCTATCATAACATATTATTTATATATTCAAATGTATTATGGAAATATTCCCACGTAGTTACTTAATATTCATTTGATATAAAATGGTTTTATTTTAATTACAGAAACACAAAAAATATATCTATTGCTTGACTTGTGCATCATTATTTATTTTTGAACAAAAAACAAAATCTAATGACGTTAATAATACATTAATAATAATTTACTTAATATTATTTTTAGAAACAAACGAAGCCTTAGTCATAAAGCATGGTAAATATTTAGTAGTAAATTATTCATATAAATTTGAATAGTCATACACATACATATTGATTTCAACCTCAATGAATGATTTACATTAAACATTTTTTTTCTAATTTTAGAAAAGTTATGGTACCAGCAAAGAGTGCGGTATGAAATAAATGCTGTAACTGGTAAATACAAAATTGAACTCTTTTATACGAACAATTTTTAAATTGTACTATATTATTTAAAATTTTTTCATATTGATTAATTTATTTAAATATTTTCAATATTAGGATAGGACTGTTATAGAAAAAGAACAAAAAAATGGTTATTTAACCGTATAATGTTTTGACAAATTATATTTTGGTTATAGGTATGAGAAGAGCATTCGTAGACAAAGGTAATCACAATCGTACATTAATTTTTCGGAGGTATGGCTTGGTAAATTACTAAAGTACAAGTTCAGTACTTGGCATACTAAGAGGTTGAAAAAGGTTTTGCACCAAATAGGTGTTCAAAATTTAGGTAGCAGACCTGCTCATTTGGTCATAGCAGCTGCGGTTTAGTCTCAAACCTGGTCGTTCAAAGGCAGAAGCAGAACATTAATGATGAACATTATGCGTTGGTGCACGCGTCGTTCTAGGGGTTTTATGCCTGTGCAGATACCGGCAATGGACCTATAGCTGCTGGCAGTATCATTTTATGGTTTCCTAGTTTAAATATAGCGATTGTTCTGGGTATTTTGAAGAAGAGGGAGTGGCTCCCCCGATGCCAGAATTTTGTTCAAGGAAAATAAAGAAAAAGTTTCCAGAGAAAGAGTTTATGATGTTTTTGACATTTTCGTGTCTTAGCTCTGGCACATAACCGAAAAAAAGCGTAACGAAAAAAGCGTTACCAAAAAAGAAATGGGGTTGAAGATGACGTTGGGGGTGGGAATGGAAATGGGGTTGGGAGTGAGAATTAGCCGGTACATAACCGAAAAAAAGCGTAACGAAAAAAGCGTTACCACACGGGATGAGGTCGGGGACGGGAGATAGGGGTGAGTGATAGGGGGTGAGTGATAGGGTGGGAGATAGGGGGTAAGTGATAGGGGTGAGAATTAGCCGGTACATAACAGAAAAAAAAGTGTTACCAAAAAAAGCGTTACGCTGTTATCTGATATGAGATAAGATAAGATATGTTGTACGTTCAACGTTCAATAGAACTAAACAATAAATTCAAAATAGCTTAATTCTCTATGTTAAGTTGCTTTTGGCCATATAATAAACACTACAATTTTAGCCAGAAACTTGATTGTACATAATTTTTTAATCTCCTTGGCTTATGCTGTAACTGGAAGCTCCATGTAATATATATTTTTTTTTTAACTATAATTCCACAACTAATCTAAATGTATTCGGTTCTTCAACGAGACATGAAAATGTTCTATCGTGGTCGCAGACTCGGCTGAAAAGTGGCTGATTTTTTTTAGATTAGTCATCATACATATTGGTAATGTAGAAGTCAAACTTTTAAAGTTCAACTTATAAAAACAATCAAAGTTCTTTAAAAAATTGAAACTAATTTAACAATTATAAAACTTGAATGGGGTATTATATTTACACGCATTGCGGTTACTCCCATGCAAGTGTTTCGAAACGTCGGCGAACCAGTCAAGAAATCTAAATAGGAGTAACCGCAAGGCGTGTAAATAGTGTAATTCAACAATGTTTAAAAAATGTAAAACGCACCGAATACATTTTTTTTTAGATAATTTTTATGAATTTGAAAGGGTGGGGTGTTAAAATTTTAATATTTAGCTTTATAAAGTACCTTATAGGTAAAAATTTGTAAAATTACAACTCTTTATTATGTAATGCAATTTTATCACAAGCAACTAATTGCTTGTTTTCTTATTTGTTATTAAGTTGAATTAGATCGCTGTACTATGGAATATTTGGGAAGTGAAAGAAGATATTTTACTGGTGCTGCTGTAATACAATTAATCCATGCAATTATAATAAGTAAATATTCATATAGAATTTTTTATGAATGTATCTATTTTCGTAAAAGAACTGTACTAATATTATTGATTTATAAAAAAAAAGATATTAATAATCATAATACAAAAACAAAAGAAGATATTTACAGACATTCATTCTAAAAACAAACACATACAATTTTTTGAATAATAGAAGTACCTATAAAGCCCTCACAACATGAGTGTATGACAAGACTCTTTTTCCTAACATACATTTAGTAGTTATAGTATGATAAGACATTGTCTTTTCAATTAGGTTCGTGTTCATTGATGGTTAGAATGTTTTAGAGTTCATGCCAGTTCGTTTTAACCAATTTTATTTCTTATCAATTACCTAATATGTTATAACCATAGTAGAAGTTTTTACATTTGGTCATCACTCATCACTCATAATAGAAGATTCATAATCTAATACAAACTACATTGCAAAAATTAAATGACAAATTAATGTTTTTTAGTATAAAAGATTCTAGACAAAAGTTTCTGATACAGTAATTTTTCAAAGAAATCCTAGATTTTAGTTTTTGCGTAATGTGTGGTGGTGTTCTCTAATTCTATTTTTATTTTTTTATTTTTTTAGCCAAAAACCCTGTATTGAGATCGGCTTTCTCAGATTTTCCTCAGATGTGTCGTTTATTGGGATTGTACAGAAGTTTCAAAAACGTATTTGAAAAATTACCATTTATAAAATCTGCTAAAGTTCATGATGGAACTTGTGTTCTTAAAACTCTAGACAATAGTGAAACCAAATATAGATATATTAATGAAGACATTTGGGAACTTAAAGCTAATGGTACTGGACTTCAACGACTTTATCACCAAATAGAATTCTTCAACATGTTTTAATTACTTGTATAAATAGGCATGCGTATATGATTTGTGTATAATAATAATTATTATACACAAATCATATACGCATGCCTTATAGTATAAATATTTTCAATTAATTTGATGTAATAAAAAATTCACAGTTTTAATCATATTTATGAAAACACTTGTTGCTTATGTATTGAATATATATGCTGTAACGATGGCACTTGCCTCACATATTATTAGTAATAATAATATTGTTCATGGCTGGTGGTTATCGTTACTTCCGAACCAAACCTATGAGGTCTAATACGTCGGACAGCACCCTGGTCTGGGCACACAATACAAATATAATATTATAATAATTAGAGGAGAGGGAGTGACGTGACTCGCGCTAGTGGACAGTATTCGCATCCTCCTATATACTAATTAGTTGACATCTTATCATCTACGCGCTAATATCTTATTCAACAATTACCTAATTATTCGGCACCTTATTTAAATTTTCTTGTGCGTGTCACTCCACCTGTTCTTACTCCTGATTTCCACGGACCAGGTAACATGTGTTAAACCTTTATACATATATATTTGTACAAATTGTTTTTTTAGTTATTTTAATATTTTAATCGACAACTTAATTCTTAACCGGCATTGAGCTTTTTTAAATATATAATATTGTACATTGCAATTTGAGAGTTAAGTGTATTTACTTAAAGGTACTTTTTCTCTTTTGGGTGGTTATATAAATTCACAAAGAGTCTCTAGGAATATTTTAGAGCAGTTATTTTAATATTATTTAATAATATTAAATAATATTAATGTTATTTAATAATATCAGCCAATACTATTAATATATTTGGGAATATTGTATTTATGAACACTCCTATTAAACGACACATCGGGAAATACTCGGTGAAATCTTTGATGAATCCACCTTTAAAAACAAAACAAAAATGATCAAATTTAGTTTATTTCTTACTTTTTTTCTTCATTCACGAGTCACAACTCATGTATATACGTGTATAATAAATCATATAAAAATAATACAAAGTAGAAAACATCATTACTATACAGACCTTACCCGTAGTTTTTTTCATGGTAGTTTTATTCTAAACTTTTATGTAAAGAGCCATCATACTAAAAAAACGTTAATTTTTAATTATGTTTTATGTAACTAGTTTAGTTTAACTTCTTTGTTGATTATGTAACGTGTGAGAAGCCATAAGTAAGTTGTAAGAAGTAAAATTGTGTAAATACATTGACATTTAAAACCAAAGGAGTTCAATAATTACTACAAGAACTTAAATGAAAAGATAATGTCAAATCATATGTCTGTATAACACCCATGTTGTGAGTGCTCTATTATTATAAAAATGTAAATTGTGTGTCTCTGAGATAAGAATAAATGTACGTGAATGGATAATAATAATATTACTTGCATTAAGGTTATTACTATGAAATAAATATTGAATTATAAACCGATAAGATGTAAATTTTAAACTAACGCGATTTCTATATAAGGAAAAACCAAAAACTATATACAAAATGATATGAAAATTTAACAATAATAATTACCTATTACTTCACGGATTAAACGTTTTGTAGCTGCACTAGTTATGCGTCTTCTTTCATTTCCCAAAACTGACAGATTAGTATTACTAAAATAGTCTTAATAAAAATAAATAAATTACTTGTTATACAGTTGCATTATTTTTTATAAAACTAAAATGTTGCAATTTTCTCACTAACTACCGCTAGAACCTATTTTAACAGGCAAAAATTAAAACTTTAACCCCTGCTCATTCAAAATTAGGAAAATATCTAAAAAATAAAGTTATTCTTCAACATAACTGGTTACTATATTACTTTTTTAAAAATTGTCCAATTTGTACCAATTTCTCGTCTCTTTAAAATAAGCCGAACACTCTCCTTACTATGAAAACCTAAAAAGAACCCTCCAGTCGGTACAAACCAATTACCCTTGTAAGAGCATGCTTTAAACTCCTCGAATGTCTAGTGTACAGCAACGAGATGCTCGTAAGTAATGCTCGAATCCCAATTGAGCAATTAAGTTTCATACTTAAGTTCAGCCACTATGTCCGAGTTCTTTTCCCGAATACGTTTGTAGAAGGAAGTACGAAAATAGGAAAAAATCGCCAAAACATTCATAGCCGCTCATGACACAATATAAAGAGCAGGCCTGCTACCTTCATTTTTAAGAGCAACTACATGCAAAACCATTTCCACCCTCTTAAACAGTATGCTACAAAGAATTTGCAATTCGTAATGTATCTTAATAACAAGGCTAGCAGGAAATATAGACTAACCAACGACCAAACGTAAGGTTCAGTTCTTGCCCCATTCAGTTAAACTTGTACACTAGCAAATTACCAATCGATAGCCCGGCAAATTAATGAACGATTATGATTGCCTTCATTTATCACCGGTGTACTGATTCCTGTAACCAAAATATAAAATACCAATATATTGTAACAATTTTTAAAAATTTTAAATTAATGATAATCATATATAGTGGAAAGTATTTAGACAAATGAATCAATGTAAAATAATATCAAAACTTGTAGTAGCCAAGATTTTAACTACGTTTAAATCAACAAAACCTTAAGCAAAAAAATGATATATGAAGGAATATGGCTGAACTTTAATCAAATGTTTATTGTTTTTATATTTAATTAAAATTCATAAAACTATAAAATAAATAACTGTTTCTTATAACAAATTTAGTTTATATCTACCTATTGTAGACCATATATGTGACTGTATAATATGCTGGTAGTTTGTCTTGTCTAAAATTTAAAACAAAACATACTTTGATTTACATAATTTATTAACACAGGGTGATTTATTAAGGATAAGACACTAACTTTCTTGGCATATATTAATATTTTGAACAACATTTTTTCCAAGTTTTTTTGGTACACATTGTACTATATTTTTCAATATTTTGAAAATTTTTATCGCCAATCCTGGATGGTCAAAATGGGGTTTTTAGTTTTTTTTAAATGGCAACATATATTTTTAATTACATACATTTGTAGACAAAAAATACAAAAATATTTTAGCGTTTGAATTTTGAATTTTCATTTATTTTAGCTTCGATGCAAAGCGAGAAGGTATTGGTTTTACTCTGATGTATGTTTTTTTTTTATCTGTATACACTGTAACTTCTTTAATACTGGACCAATTCCTTCGAATAGCAACTCTATAAATCGCAATTTTCATCTAGTTGGTACTTTGGGGGGGTAAAAGTTGAAAAAGTTTAACTCTTCACAGGCGAAAGTTGAAAAAACAAAAAAAAAAACCGTACGAGTTTTTAAGTTAGAACTTTTACTGGCTATAGCTTCGAGAAAAATAGTCGGATCGAGTTGAAATGTATAAGAAATATTTATTTAGTATGCCCGCGCACGTCAGTTATATCAAATTTGAATTTAACCCAATGCCCACCCCCCTAGGGGGGGTACAGGTTTTTTTGTTTTTCGGGGTTTTTAGCCGTAATTTTAAGACCTTTGGGTTGAAAATTTGCCAGTAGTTGGAACTCATATGTATCCATAACATATTAAACGGAAAAATAATTCGGCACTACAGTTTTTTTTTAATAGCCGGAAAACTGTGTTTTCGCAGATTGCGTATATTTTAACAAAAAACACTTAAAATCTTAAAAAAATTGTTATCAAATCATTAAAACAATTTTATGTAGATCTATGCAGAATGATACTATTGAGTTTTGTGCTCAAGTAACACTTTTGACTTTAAGTTGACACAAAGTTCAATTTTTTTTTTTTTTTTTTTTAAGTACAAACGCACTCTACCAGATGTGAGAAACGAAAAAAAAAAAGTATATTTTTTTGTTCTATTGGCATCATCGTGTGTACGAACGGCATATTGATGCGCGCTCTTATCTGCTCCGTAATGAATTATGAAATCAGTTATGATAGAAAATATTGTATGTCGTTTCAAATAGTATTTTTAAATCTCTACAAAAACGCTAGTTTTTATTCTGGTTGTAACTTGTATTGCGCTGTATAAAACTTTTATGACGTAGTTGATGTTTATTTTATCAATTTTCATTATTTAATAAAAAACAATTTGTCAACAGAATATAACTAACTGGGTGTGGATTTTATTAAGTCACAGTTGATATAAAATCGATTTGGACTTGAACTTTTTGCGGAATGACTGAATTTAATTTAAGAAACTAATTTAATTTTAATTGGCAGCCATTACGTGAGAAATGATAACATGAGTTGTTTATACTATAGTGTATAGTTGTTGTAATTATCAATTTTCGAGACAAAATAATATTTGATCGTGACCATATAAACGCCCGATCGCGTTATCAACTGTCCACCGTCTTATGTACACGGTACAGGTGGGAACGAAAAACCCCTTATCGGCCCGAGCCGGTCATGGAGTGTGAGAGAGAGGTCGGGGGGTGATGACATTTGTAGGTAGTTGCCAGTCAGTATTCGATAATTCGATTATCAGTTATTGATTTAAAATTGATCCGGAGTGTCAATCCGCTGTCGTTCCGAGTATTATTATTTTTATTTACATATTGTAAAAAATATTTAATTATAAAAAAATATTTTCTTTACATAATTTTCGGTGTTAAATTTCCACCTTCGTATAAAACCACCTGCACACCGTTTGCTTGTGGCTATACACGTTAGTAATATTTAACTAATAAGTAATAAATGTAGGTAAAATTTATTGTTTTCTCCATCACAGTACCAGTATACGATTTATTTTAATTTAAATGTAAGAAAATCGATTTTTCTTTAGAAAATAACAAGAAATTATTATACAGGATGAGGCAGTAAAACGGCGATTTTCTAATGTATTTAAATGGTAAAACCCGTTTCACTATCCCACCCTTTACATTTTAAGGATCTATGAAAAGGTTTTTTTAGTTGCATTTTATTTTGTACATTGTCAATCTAGTAAAATAGAAGTATAATATAGCTTTGAAATAATATAATCTGTGAAGTATAAATAGTTTGTGTGTGATTGCTTTA